ATTAGGCGCACGCTACTATATAACCCTAGACCTCTAGAACGCCTACTATAGAATATAGATTAAGGCAGGAGATAAATAGAAAATAGCTTTCTATACACGCTATAGTTATTTTAAATATCTAGTAATACTATTTAGGCTAACTAATACCCCTACTAGCTTCTAGGCTTATATTAATAGAGCCTTAATTAAACACTTAGATTATATATATATTATATACCTAGATAATATCCTTATCTATACTAGTAGTAACAAAGTTACGCTCTACTAGCGTGCTATACGCGCTGTGCTTTAATTACTACGCAAGGTAGAGTTATTTATTAACCTACTAAAGTGCACCTTTATATCTAATAAGGTCTACTTTCTAGGCTTTATTATTAGCACGTAAGGTATATACGCTAATCCTGCTTAGGTAGAGACTATTACCTAATAGCTATAGCTAACTAATATTAAGGAACTATAATCTTTTCTAGGTTTTACTAACTTCTACTAACGCTTTATTATAGGCTATGCTATATAGACTGCCCCCCTTACTAATTTACTTAAAAAGGATAATAGCTTTACTTAGACACCTACTATAGACAAGTCTTTTAAGATACTTAAAAAAAACTTTTTAAGCGCGCCTATCTTACACTACTTTAACGCTAAGCGCCCTATTTAAGTAGAAATAGATGCTTCTACCTTTGCTATTATAGGTATCCTTTTATAACTTTTTAAAGATAATAAATAGTACCTAGTTACCTTTATCTTAAGGAAATTACAAGCTACTAAGCTAAATTATAAAGTCTATAACTTAGAGCTACTAGCTATTATTTATAGCTTTAAGTAGTAGTAACACTACCTAGAAGGTACCTAGTATACTATATAAGTACTAAGTAACTATAACAATCTATATAGGATACACGCTATATAGAAGCTAAACCTATAATAAGCTTATTAAGTAATATATCTAGGAGCTTTTAACTTTAAGGTAGAGTATAGATTAGGGAAAACTAACCCTATAGATAGCCCCTTAAGAAGGGCAGATTATATATAGGAGAACCTATTACTAACCTAATTATTACCTACCTTATAAAGTAAACTACTTATAAGGGATAGACTTAGTAGAGTAAGTAGATCTATAGATAAGTAGAGCTTATTAGGCGCGTGTAAGACGCACGTTGCTATAGTTTATAGAACTAGAAAGGTCCCTACTACTAGCGCTATAGTATGCACGCTATGCGTGCCACGCTTACTAGCTAGGGTATTAGCTAGTAGCAAACCTATAATAGTAGAGTACTAATTACTTATTAAGACCTTACACTAGTTATAGTAGAGGGACGCCTTTATATAGTAATAGGTTATAAGCTTAATACCTAAGGATAGCACTTAAAACTATAGAAAAGCGTATATTTAGCGCTTAGATAAGAAGGAAGTCCTAAGATATAATAGTAGAATATATATTCTAGAGGAACTAGCTATTAGGTAAGAGATTTTATTCTAGAACTATAACTTGCGTATAGTAGGCTACTTTAGCGTATATAGGACGCTTAAGCTAATTAAGAGGATATACTACTAGCCTACTCTATATTAAGATATTTAGGATTATATAAGAATATATACTATTTACTAGAGGAGTAAGGCTCTAAGGTATAGCTAATATAGAAAGCTATTACTACTACTAGTCCCTAGAGAAATCTTTAAGGAGGTTATACTAGACTTTATTACTAGCCTACTACTAGTAAAGGACTCTATAGGTTACGTGTTTAATATAATCCTTATAATAGTATATTACTTCTTAAAGATAGCACTCTATATACCTACTTTAAAAATATAGGATATAAAATAGTTTATAGAGGCTTACTTTATATATATTATTTTAAAGTTTAGGATCTAAAAAGGTATTATATTAGATAGAGGAGTAATTTTTACCTCTTTATTCTAGATAGAAATCTGCTACTAACTATAGGTAAAGCGCAGGCTAAGCACTACCTTCTATCTGCAGATAGATAGGCAAATAGAACGCTAGAACTAGACCCTAGAATAATACTTAAGAATATTTATATTAAGTTCTTAAGAAGACTAGGTAACACTCTTTACTATAGTGTAGTTTGCCTATAATAATTTAGTATATAAGTTAATAAAAGTTACCTTATTCTAGGTAGTATATAGTAAGTATCCCTTACTTACTAAGCTACCTAAAGTTAGTAGGCTAGAGGGGGAGATACTAGACGTAATTAAAAGAGTAAAGTGTATATATAGCGCAAGAGCAATAATAAAAGAATAGCTAGAGAAAGCACGTAAATATTAGAGCTAATACTATAATAAGAAATATAAAGAAGAAACCTTCTACCTAGGAGATCTAGTACTACTTAGTACTAAGTATATTAACTTAGCTAAATAACCTAGTAGGAAGCTATCTAGCAAGTTTATTAGCCTATTTTAGATATAAGGCGTAGTTAGAATATAGGTATACTACCTACTCCTTCTACCCTTCTATTATATTTATAATATATTCTACATTTCCCTACTAGAATATTAGAATCCTAGGATAGGAGAAGAGGATAATACCCTCCTACTAGATATAACACCTAAAGGAGAAGAAGTTTAGGAGGTAGAGAAGATTCTAGGGAAGTAGAAAAGGAAAGGTTAACTATAATACCTACTCTACTAGAAAGGCTATAATAAATCCTAGGATACCTAGACTCTACCCTTAGACTTTAAGAATATAGATAATATAATTTAATAATATAAACTTAGTAAAGCTTCTTATATAAGGAAAGTAAGAAAGGATTATAAGTAATATATAGAAAATATAGTAAAGAAGTATATCTTTTTATATAGCCTCTAGCCTAAATATAGCCTTAGGCCTATAGGTATCTATAAATATAAAAACGCCTAATATAATTTATAGGAATTGCGCCCTACGTGTAATATACCTACTCCTCCTAAGCGCCCTTGCCCTTAACTGCACCCTCCTTGCCTTTAGCATCCTCCTTATCTCTACTACTATTACTAGCTTTAATACTAGCACCCTCCTTATTATTATTATTACTAGAGGAGCTATTAGTATTATTACTACTATTAAGAGCCTAAAACTAGTTAGTATACGCCCTATATACGCTTAATAAGCGTACTTATAAGTCTAGCTATATAGCCTATAATCTACTTAAGCGTAGCTATAATATAACGCTACTCTATAAGGATTAAGCTAAGGAATTAGGGTAAAGTAGTAGGGACCTAGGTAGCTATACCTAAAGGTGTGCTAGTATAGGTAGTAATATAGTAGTAGCTTAATAGCTCTAAGTTAAACTAGCGCTAGTAGTATATAAGCTTAACGCCTATAGTAATTATATTAGTATCTATCCTTAAAGTAGTAGTATTTATAACTATAGTATTATAGTTAGTATAGAGGGCGTATAAATAATTTAATTAACTATTTATTACCTAGGGCACCTATAGAAATTAGCTATAGTATACTTAAAGTAAACTCTTAGTACTAATCTTAGTATACCTACTATAGTTACTAGTAGTATAGTGCTTATAGTAATAATACTTAGGTATATTATAATCCTTTTTCTACTTAGTAATATTTTAAGTATAGTATAGGTAGGTTATAGCTAGGGCTACCTAATTTACGCGCTTAGCTAGCACGTTAAACGTGTAAGGCTAGGCACTATAAAGGTGTAACTTCTTAATATATTTAAGGTTTAGATAGTAAACTATATTAATAGGTATAGGATATATAGTTAAGGTGCGTTATAGGTACTTAAAGATTAAGGCACGTAGTAGTAAAGTATTTAGTTATTTATAATATATAGAGCTTAGGCCTTAGGCTAAGTAATAAGTAAATAGTTAACTTTCTATACTATAGTATAATAACACACACGCACTATACGCCTATAATATATATAATACGTAAAAGGAACGCTTATATAGTATATCTATAGGTTAAACTATAGATACTCTTTTCTTTCCCTATAGGGTAAGGTTTTTATTAAGGCTATAGGTTACTACTAGGGACTATAGCTAGAGGGGGAGATTCTATAATAACCCTATTATAAAGACACCTTATAGTATTCTAGTTAATTAGGTGTATCCCTAGCTAGGTTTAGTATCTTAGTGCCTAAGCTGCGTAAAACCTGCGCTTTATATAGGGCTTAGGTAAGACAAGTATTATTCTTGTGTTAATACTATACTAATAGCTATCTCTACACTATTCTATCTAGTGTAAAGCAAATACTATTGCCTACAACTAGAACCTTACAAGATAGGAGAATCTACTCTATTATAGAGTTCTAAGCAACAATCCTATATTACTAAATCTATATATAAAGCAGAATATATAGCTTATTCTTATACTACTTTATATCTAATATAGATAAAAGGGACCTTATTAGAACTATTAAAACTCTATCTAATAATAAAGACGTTCCTATATTCCTATATCCTAAAGACTAATTTATAACTAGCTCTTGCATTAATTTAGGACTACTAAATTAACACTTGTTTAAAACATATCGCAGTTTACTTCTACTACGTTTAAGAATACTATTTAAATAGTGATTTTAAGGTACAATATATACCCTCTGTATAGAATATAGTAGATATTTGTACAAAATTACTTGCCCTACCTATATTTACTATTATAATTAGGCTTCTCTATATAGCTGTTTAAGGGGAGTGTTGCAAGGAAATAGCGATGTTGGTGATAGGCAGGGACTATCTAATACTAGTGACGATAGAGGGTTTATTATTTACATCCTGATTAGGACTAGCGCTTATCGCGTGACGCGTCCATATAGTCATTTCACCCCTTCAGATTAGTTTTGAATTCATACTTCTACCACATTTCCATTTTCCATAACTATAGTTCCTACTATAGAGTACCTAGGGTTGTTTATGGAGGTTTGTGGAACAGGTGCAAAGGTCTGGGGTGCAGGCATTATGTGCGCAGAATGGAAGGGGTTATAATCGTGGTTAAGGTACTGGACAGGGCGCATCGCAATAGGGTTGGAATACCCTTAGTGCTGGTATTGTGCGGGTTGCACGTGACCTGAAGGATTATGATGCGTTCTCTTGGCATATATTATGGACCCCTTCCTTATTACCATCCCATCTTCTTCCATCGTAGAAGAGATCACCAAGCTAGCCACGGTGGAAGCATACTCTCCGTCTACTTCCTTGAGGCGCCTTGAGCTGGACTCCACCGCTGACCTATCTTTCTTCTTCCTTGTGTCTATCCTAGACCCTTGAGGCCACATCTTCTGCACCGTAGTGGAACAAGGCTCAGAAGGGATGACTATCTGCGAGTTCTCGTCGAATACCATCCACTCGTAAAGGCTACCGAGCATGTTGTGCACAGTGTCTCCGCTGAACGCTACCTGGCCTTTCTCCTTGATGACACACATCAGGTTCTCGAAAGTGGCCTGAAGGTCCTCTGGCTTGACCACCATGTCTCGCGCTTCCTCCTCTACCAGGCAGTCCAATGTACCCTTGCATCCGATAGCAGGTACCTTGCTTTGAGACAAGGGATTAGCAGAATCAGAGTTGTGCCTTCTCGTGGGCTCCTGGTCTTCAGAGTAGTCCTTGGAGTTTCCTCTTTCGCGGTGTTTTCTATGGGACTTTCTAGAACAAAAAGTGTTGGATGAGAGGCTTGATATGTGCGATCATGGAGCGGATTGTGGGTAGAGGTGAGGTGATCGCTGTTTGTAGCGGTCAGTGGGCTGTGTCTTACCACCTTCACTAAGATACGGTAAGCGTACCTGCCGCCCTCACTGAGACAATGTGCGCTGGTAAGTGATATGACGCCATAGTATCCGCAGTGAAGGTGAGAAATTGTAGTTTTAACTGGCAATAGAGCAACACATTGGCAATCACTCACTTCAGCGAGGATTCAAAATATAGCAAATAGTAAGATTCTTAGATTTGAGGACGTCTGTACACCCGTACGTATCAGATTGATCAGAT